CGATCTTCCAACTGCCCAACTCTCCTAACTTCCCCTCACAGATGTCCCAAGTGAAACATCATCCCAAGAGAGTTGAGAGAGTTGGGCAAGTGATGTCCGTTGATGTGCAAAGTCTTCCAATTCAAACATCGTTCCTGAAACTTCACAGACTGCTTCGGTCGCTTGGTTCTTTCGGCTCCCTCCGCCCAGGTCCAAAAGTCTCCCAAGCTCCTGGCAACAGGCGCAGATGGGACAGAACGTGACCATGCCGAAGTAGGTGGAGGTTGATTTTTGGTTGCATGACTTTGACATAGTTTGACTTGGACTTTTTACATAGTTGGACAATGTTGAACACATGTTGAACATGTGGGGTAAGTAGGGTTTCATTAACTTAGTTTTTTGGGTGCTTCGGGAACTTCGGGCCAAGCACTATAGGCATTGTTTGATGCTTGTATGATATGTCCATCGTATACCACTCCATGCCACTCCTGTTAAGCTGGAAAAGACACAGCTGTGCAACCTCCAGCTGCGGGGTTTTGGGCGTGGGTGCAGCATCGAGGCCTTTGTGACGAATTTGTATACTCAGGCATACGTTTAAAGCCATCAAGTACCGATACTTGAGAGCTGAGTCTGTCGGAAACACTTTTCCTGGATGGATCTTCTCATGCCCCGATTGTTTTGATGAGGATCTTCTCTTTGCACCTTCCATATTGGCTTGACACTGCGCTGTCCTGAAATAGACAAGCAAGCTTCCGTTCGCATGATTTGTTGGGGAGCCATTTGAGGGCCACTCCCAGCTAGAAGATGGGCCAGAACCTCAAAAAAAGGATGGTCTTTGGGATGGGGGAACAGTGACAAACTACGAACCACATACAGGCAGAACTCAAAACCGGTTGAGTCAGTTGGCACGACTACACGAACACCCGTTCTGGAGAGCGGGTGTGCTTGAGAGAGCACAAAATGAAGGCAAAACAAAAACAAATAAATCCAAATCCTATGTTTATAACTCTCATTTTGTCGCACATATCCCTACTTTGAACCTTTGTCGGCCTGGTCTGAACAATTGAAGCAAAACAATAGCTCAAAACTTAGGTTGTTGTGAGTTCTGCAAAAGCACTGGGTTTTTGATCATGTGTTGCATTAACAACAAAACATTGAAGCAAAAAATGACTCAAAACCTAGGTGTTTGTAATGTGTCAGCCAAAAAATGCAAAAAGCACTGTTTTTTGGCACATGTTCTGCATCTCTCAGGAGCACCCGTTGTCAATCTTGATTCATACTATATAATCAATCCAATCCCATGCGAAGCAGCTTGAAGGTCTCCGAGCAGAAAGGTGACTACAGCATGCTTAAAGGATGACTTGCCTTTCAATCTATGACGTTCGCAACTTCTAGTAGGTCATTTGCCTTTCTTCGTTCGTGGGTCCCCGCCAACAGTCTTCAAAGCTCCAACCGTGCGCCGCGTGCCCTGCTGCGTCCGAACGAAGTCGGCCAGGGCAGAGGGCCAAAGCCCCAACCGCGGCTCAGGCGGGAAGACTGAGACTGGTAGGTGTGTAGAGACGAAAGAAGAGACGAGACGAAGACGTCCTTTCAAAAAGGAAAACTAAGAACAAACTGACTGGCTGGAGAATCCTCCACAGCCCAAAACCGCAGAGTGCTCAAAGCCGTTTGTGAGGTTGTGCTATAGACAGTCTAGCCCCGACCTGCCCAAAGAAAGCGTATTCGCCGCATTTCGCAGCATGGTCACGCCTGGGGGTCCCTGTCAGATTCGGATCACACTTCTGTGGAGCCAGTTCTTGAGCCATATGATTCTGACGAAGGAACCAGCAAAATGCCTGGGCCTGAATTTGTCTAGCTATCACTCCCTGCAAGTAGGATTTGTCCTGATGTTTACCGGCCGCTGAATTGGCCTTTTCAACAAGACAGTCAGAGATGTCAGCACAGCAGGTTCAAAGTCCAAGAGGAGTAATCAGATGCATGGCAGGTATACCCAGCTCGATCACTCTAGAGATTTTCATTATCCCAAGTGCCACCTACTCAGGCTAAACACGGTAGTGACACCGTATACATGGTCCACTCCTCAAACTGCCGGGTTTCACGGTTCAGGTCGCAGTCCAAGGTGCCCCTCTTCTAGGCGGCATATTGGAATCAACGCCTCCAACGCCAAAAAGGACACATCAAATCCGAGGTCCTTCCCCCGCCGTTCCTGGTCCGTGCCGTTCCTCGTTTTCGGGTTTGAGGAGTCCCTCCGGGCGATCAACGCGGCGGCCACCAAGCTCCTGTCCGCCACGTGCGGAAGCTCGGTCTCGGTCCCGCGCGGGATGGAACGGCGTCCAACGGCGCTTTACGGAAGGTGGTGGCCGGTGTGTGTGGGGTGTCGCGTCGGGAGCGTTCTGGAGGGATTTGGGGGTTGGGGAAGGATGGGGGAAGGTGTTTGGAGCATCGAAGTCAGTAGGACCAAGGACAAAAGTGAGTTGAAGACAGGCACTGAGGTGGAAGTGCTAGAGTCTAGATGAATCAACGAACTTTGAAGTGGAACTGGAACTCAAGGGCCAACTTGTTTTCTGGGCAGAGGCCGCTCTATCCAAGCAGATGTGCTTTGGAATTGGGACTCCTTAAGCCAGTGGGTGGGCATCTACTTGACAAAATTTCGCAGCCGGAGCCAGTGGCCTCGTTGCCTACCTAATTCAGGCGTTTGCAACAGTGCCAGCCATGTCAGCTACTCTAGTCATGTTTGTTTCTTCTCCGGCTCGCAATCCAAAGACCTATCAAAGACCGATCCAAGTGAGTTTGTTTGTAAGAGACCTTGCTTTTAATGTTGTTGAGGTCTCCCTCTACTGGAGGTTCTATACAAGGTTCAGACAGTATTTTACGGACAATGTTATATACCAGACGCATCCGAAGGGTGCCCAGTGCCCAATGGTTTTTTAATGTTTCATGTCCTTAAGGGGTGCAATGGGCAGGAGTCGGATGCAGCCGGTATTTTGACCTGTCCACTTCCGACCTGCTTGTGCAACCCTTCCGGCAGCCAGGAACGCCAGCCTTAGCGACCTGACCGAGGCTTTGTCCCTCTTAGAGGCCTGGTACCGCGCTGGCAGAGCGGAGCGCACTCGTGGTGCCTTCGGTGGAAGAAGTGATGGAACAAAGAAACATACTGGCTGCCTTAGCTAAATGAATCAGGGGTGACCCTGACCTACCAATTTTGTCAATTAGTTTCCACCAAAGAGAGGGAAAATGGAGGGAATATAAAGAAATTGTCTACCAAGAACATGGTATACAGTACTGTGCATACGGAAAAAGCCACCCTGGTTGTGCGGCTGGGACATGCCACACTTCCACAAAACCATCATAAGCCATCGCCACCAGCCCTTCGAACTTGGCTCCAAATTGCCAAACTCCAACATCAACTGGTACCAATATGGAATCGTGGAGGTTTCCAGGGCAAACGCATAAGACACGTGACGACATTGCCGACATCATAAGCTCAGCAGATAAAGAGAAGCTTCACAAAAAGGAGGCAAAAGCTGAGCCACTAAGGTACACACATGAAAACCTCAAAGAAGTTTGTTTAACCAATCCCTGGAGGTGGCTCCACCACGTGTTTCGAGGCGGCTTGCAGCATTGCAACGATTACAGTGAGATGTGACCAAAGCGTTTGGCAAACACATGAACCAACACTATGAGGTCGTCCACATTATTTGTTCTGCATCATCCTTTATAAATCATATCCAAAATTGTGGACGTGGGAAACAGGATAGCTCTTAGAAGGCCATGTTTCTCTACAAACACCTAATCTTGCACCAACCCGATGTGACTCATGCAACCAATCACAAAATAACGTTTTTCACACCACCCACTTATACCCACCTGGCTTTTCCAGAATCAGCTGGCCTCTCAGCTGGAGCCCCAGCACTAGCCTCTAGCCTCAGTGCTTTGTGCGTCAGGACGCTCAGCTTTGGGTCCTTGATCCTGGATCTTCCAAGGCTCAGGACAACTCGCCCAGCGGGACGACGGTCGGCACGACGACTTTCGGTTGAGGTCCCTCCTTTCGGGTCGGGTGAAGCGCTGTTTCAAAGCTGGCTGCCTAGGTTCAGGAAGCATCCGGTGTGACAAGGTTTTGGAAGTGTGCTTTGTGATTGATCGTGGGACTGCCGTTGGTTCCGCTGGCCAGGCCGGCCTTTAAATTGCTCCTTTTCATGTTTTTGCCAACAAGGGCGAAGGTCCACCATAGCTCTTTGGAAAATGACACCAGCTTAGTGGTGGGCATTGGTGTATATAGTGCAATATTGCAAGTACCTTTCTTGTTTGGGGTCCCACACGGGAACAGTTGACTTTCAAACCAACGATTGGGCTTATGGGAGGGTGAAGAGCTGAGGATTGAGGTGTAAGGCCTAGTTTGGGTCAGCCCGGACGTCTTCGGCTTAGGCCAAAACACACTTGCTGAAAACACAGACAGAGATGGGACTGGAAATGAGACCAGAAATCCAGAGGATTGGAACTTGGAACATGTTTGGCTCGAGGGGACACGCTGGTGAGACCGAAGATCACGGGGATCAGGGATCGATCGGGAGATGTCAGTCAACAGGTGGGCAATGCTGGTATATTAGTGCTGGTCATTGGAAAGGCAGCTCCCCAGCTCCTAGCAACTTTTGCATATAGAACATTAAGGGAGGATCACCCCGGCAAAATGAAGAATATGCATCTTAATATTATGCCAGAACTTTCATTGGTTGGTAAGCCCTAGTAGGTAGCCAGCAGGCAATTGTGCGGTGCTTCCAACACCAAACCTTGTTGAAACCACGAATTGATGAAGTAAACATGTAGCAACTTTGCGCCACGCATGTTTTTGTTGGAACGTTGATGATTGTCGGGAAGCTCGAATCCAGGAAGTCAATATCATGATGACATATGGTTGGAGTGGATCCCACTAAAGGAGAGGTGCGATGGTTGCAGTTGATCCCACTACTCATATGACATATGGTTTTCGGAGAGGTTGGAGTAGCCACTAGCCAAGCAAACCTCTCCGAAACTCTTGGTGACACCGACCCCCATCCACCCGCCGAGCACCGCCGCCCAAACCGCCATGGGTCAGCCGGAGCGGAAGCGCGGAGCACAAGAATTGGGCGAGGCGCAAGCGGCGCAGTCGTGCTTGGGGCGGGACAGGTTGGGCCACTGTTTGCATTACATAATATTAACGGCGGTAAGTGCCAAAAATAAACCTAAGGCTCAGGCCCTGTACACAGTACTTGACCTGCAAATAGCCATGGTTTGGCAGCCGAGGGAACATGGCTGATCGAAGATCTAGGGCCTTGTTGAGCACTTTTGGGATTCTTACAGTAGGGATCTCCCTCCTTGTTGACCTTGTCATCATCTAGCACCAGTGGTCATCCCTACTGGTGCTATGACCGGATCATCCCGTGCCGCACCGATGGATCAGGTGGTCTCTAAAAGACTCCGCTTCGACCACAAGTCCTTGCTGGCTGCCGTGGTGGATCGGGACGGCTTCTCCGCCAAGATCGGACCCTGGGCGTGACCAGGGACGAAGTGTGGAACGCTAAAAATCCAGACCAGTCAGAGTTACTTTGTTCATTCAGCACAGACCTGAATGTCCACAGCTTGGTCGATTTGCTGCGTCATCACCAGCTTCACAAGTCTTCCAGCATCTTTCTTGCCGGTCCCCTTCTTCATCGAAATCCACCCCAGGAACCCACCTTTTCGTGCTGGGCCTCCTGAGGCGATGCGTCGGTGACCGCCTGGCCGGGCCCCTTGTCGCGCCTACTGTCCCTCCGCGCGGCCCGCGCCGCGGCCGAGTCCACGCGCGGAGCCGCGCCCCGAGCGGTCGCGGCCGTCACCGCGGAGCCGGACACCGTGGCCAACGCGCTGCTGTGGCGAAGCGGAAGAATCTGGGGGGGTTGGAGCAGAAGACTGTTTGGAAAATGAGGGAATGAAGAACATGGCTGCATGGAAGGTATAACGTTTTTTTGATGTTTTTTTTTTTAATGTGTTTTGTTTTAATCTTTGAGGATGAGCAAGCTTGCTTGATTTGGGTGAGCACAAGCAGCAAGCGCCTTACGCCGTACGCAAGAACTCTTCGAAACGATCCAGACCTTCTACGACGTTCCACTACTCGTGTGCAATGCCAAAAGCCTGCCACATAGCATAATCAAGAGCAGTTCTTTCTGGAGTCCTGGTACGTGTTATTTTCCAAAGCCATAACAATGAGCAAAATGCGGCGTGCAGTCCCTACAGACATTACATGACATCACTATACATATATTATATAATTGAATTTTATATCCACGCAATCTTGGGAGCGCTAACCCACCCCTGAACTCTTTATGGTACAGTTGTTATTATATAGAAGGAACAAACCGTTCAACAATCTTCACAATACCAAGGTGTGTCTTCAATTGTATCCACCCCAACCAATGGATACCAATGGTTCATACTCGATTTGGCATCCAAATACTGCCGTTCAAGTCCCACCTTGGGGATTCTTTCTGGCGCCAGTCGGTCGCACCGTCTCAGGCAGCCGTTGCCACCGCCACCGCCTGGGAGGTCGGAGATTCCGATTCCGCCGCCCATGGGGATCTCCTTGTGGAAACCCAGCTACAAGCGACTCGCGAAGGCAGCACTGTGGGATGCTGCTGTGGGATGCCGTGGGTTTCAGGAAGTCAGTAAAGAGTGACCGAGTGACCTGGACGATGTGGGTGCTATCATACACACAGTCACAAAAATACTCACAAGATGAAATATATTATTAGATCTTAAATTAATTATTTGCGTATGTATATATATATATATAAACAAAGAAAACATACGTGCATGCAACAAACATGAGCCAAACTGGAACGGTCAACAAAGACGAGTGGTGGATTAGATGGAGCACACCCCAGGACATACAACAATATGGAAGCCACTGGTTTGGAGAAGAAATCGTTTTGCACGGCGGATTTGCCGCAAGGACCTATCCAAATCCCTCAGGGGAAAGTCATTGCAACAGGCATAGTCCTGGTGATGTATAGTGATGTTCTGCACGGATGGGGCAGATGTGGTTCGGACGGATGGTGGAGACATGGAGGGAAATCGGAGCGCCCTTGCTTCTAAATGGATGTTTGAGGCTGTGGCCCACGAAAATGGTCAAAGGATTCGGTCATGTGCTTCCAAAGAAGGGTTCGGTTGTTTGTTCAATATACTAGAATCGTTTGGGCGGTGCTGGATGGCAAACTTCTGAACCACGGCCATGAAGTGCATTTGAAGGTATGATCTCTTTCCCTCCATGATGGCGCCGGCAGGATGAGTTCTTGCGATCCCGCACCCGCTACATGGGCTATGCCGAATACGCCAGTGCCATGACGAAAAGCTTAAAAGCCATGGTCCGTGGTGGTCTCATCCTGGGATGGAAATGCAGCTTCAGTTTCCAAGGTATGTGAAACCTGCACCCGTTGGGTGGGCAAACACGATGGCTTTGGGCATCGACCCTTTTCAACAAACCCTGTACGAAAGAGACGTGATAAACACAAGTGTTCAAAGCTGATGTTTTGACGAAAAGCTGATGTTTTGGACGTGTGACACGCGTTTGGTTTGCTGATTGGGCCCGGCTACCCTTTGAACGACTAGATGGATAAGGTACTGACACTCCATGTATGGTATGTAAATGTATGTAGGCCTACGTATATTGATTCTTCAAGCCACCCCGATGTAGGTAAATACATAATGCATGGAATGGGGTGCATTTCCTTTCCATTTCCTTCCCCACTGAGATGGCAGTTGTTGCAGTGCTGGGGGTGCCCGCCTGAGATGAGGAATTCCCTTTGCTCTCTCGTGCAACTGGCGTTCGGCTCTCTCCAACTGCGCGACTGTTGAACACCTTTAATTCTATTCGCACCGCATGAGCAAGTGTCCAAGTCTTCTTCGGGCTTCCCCCATCGTCAAGAGAGCGTCGTTATACCATTCCCAGCTGTGTTCAGGTCCACCGCTCCACCTCAACGGCGCCAGGTTGGATCTCCAAAGCCGTTCCTGAGCTGGAGCTCCGCCCCCTGGCGCTGTCAGCAGAGGAGACTGCGGCCGAGCAGAGTGGCTTGACCGGCTTGGAGCTGCTGCGGTTGCTCAACAAGCTGTAACCCGGCTTGGAGCTGGCCTCACCGCGCGACGCGCGCGGACGTTGTGACTTGAAGCCTTGGATTTTCCCGGACTTGCCTGGCTGAAGCCCTCAGCTGTAGAATGAGGAGAACCCATGAAGAAGGGTGGATTCTTCCATGTGGCGGTGACGTTGCTTGCCTACATATAATATACAACATTATACAACTCATGAGTGAATGAGTGCTGTAAAAAGTAGGATCTAGAACATTTGGATCTTTTTGAGTGTGTCGTTCTTGAACCCTCAGCTGAGAGCAACTCACCTTGGCAGCCGAGGAAGGCGCCACCGAAAGGGGTTCCTGAAATCACGCCTGAGGAGCGCCACCGAGAGGTGAAGAGAAGGGAATTCACAGCTTGCTTGGCCCAGTGCATTCCAGTTACTGGTACTACTGTATAAGGAACTGGAACCACTAAATGGTATATTCCACTTATATACACTACGGCTGATGACTCTGTTAAGAAAGACGCTTTTTTAGAGTAGACTCTAGATTATTTCTTAACTATAACCTTTCAATTCAATTAAGAAATGTGGCTAGCAGGTAGGCTCTAAATAAGGTTTCTTATTCTATTTTCTCCCTGTCAACCCTTTTTAGACCATGAAATCGCTCTCCCTCGAGCTCTAAATCGCTCAACCGCATCGCTATGCGCATGGTCTTTGACTTCTTCGACCCGTATCCCCGGATGTTGTATCATGTTCTATCATGGTATAATGCTCAAGAATCTGAGATGAGGGGAGGGAGGGAGGGAGGGAGGCTCAAAGTTGAAGGCTCCGATGGGACTTCTAAAGGGTTTCAGACCAGTTTTAGACCACCCGAGAGGACAGGTTGGGGACAATTTTGTTGAAACAGACTTAAACAAGCTGAAGCTTTTGCTCTATGTACGTATCATGGAAAGGGGTCATAGATGATGTCAAGTTTGTCATTTTACACCTGCACCCTGGAAATCCAAGGGTCACTGTCTAAAAGCGGATGTTTGATCGCAAGATTAAACAATGCGGCCCTTGTGCCGCGTCATTCCATGTGGGGTCTGTAAGTGAAATACGTACGGGGATCTATAGGACAATGAAGGCTCGCTTTTAATTCGGTACCATTATGGTCGTAATTCGGTGCGTCCAATAGTACCTAATTGCGGCCGTATTGGTATCTAATTAAAAATTCCTCTTCATGCATCCACTCCATGTTCTCTAATAACTTCCGATGACCATCAGTGACCATATCACTTTTGTAGCTCCACAATCATGCGTTTTGTGCTGACGGTTCTCAACTTTAGGTTTTTGAACCAAAAATGTAAGTTCTGAACCTTTTGGACGCAAAGTGGAACCACGGATGTTGTATAATGTTCTATCATGGTACAATGCTTAAGAATCTGAAATGAGGGGAGGGAGGGAAGGAGGGAGGGAGGCTCAAAGTTGAAGGCTGCGATGGGACTTCTAAAGGGCTTTAGACCAGTTTTAGACCACCCGAGAGGATAGGTTGGGGACAATTTTTTGGAAAAGATTTAAGCAAACTGAAGCTTTTGCTCTACGTACGTATTATGGAAAGGGGTCATAGATGATGTCAAATTTGTTATTAAGGGGTCGCGTTCTTTCTCTTTCTTTCTCTCTCTCTTTCTTTCGTTCTTTTTGTGGCAGGGCCCTTCAAATTAGAATTTAATACGTATTTAAAAGAAAACGTGTTTTTTGATAAGAATAGAGTCTAGAAATAGCTTATTTTTCCGAAAAAATAGAGTCTACGTCTACTTTCTTGTTTAAGAATATTTCTTGACACAGACAGAAGCCGTATATATATATATCACTATATATAGTGCCAGTGTGTTCTGTTTGTCGCTCTACGGTTTATGTCTTTGAAACCACTGCATGGTCTACGGTGAATCCGTCAATCCGTCCCCGTCCGCCACGATATCCATGATCACTTTGCGTAGTCCAAGCATAATTCGACCGTTGGAACCCTTGGGTTTGGGGATTTTGGAATTCACCCAAAAGGAGCCTTGAACCGGTGTCGTTCTCCAACAGGATCGACTGAAGAACCGGGTGACTCGCAGCTCGCGCAGGAGAAGCAGCTCGCCGAAGAGGCACTCTACGGTTCCGGCCGGCCTGATGAGGCGAGGGCGGTGCCGCAGTGTCGGTCGGTCTAGCAGGGGCTTTGGACGCGTTGTGCCGGATCCAACGCGGGTCTAACGGGGCATTGGTTTTGGGTTCGCAACAAAGTTCTGGAGCGAAAAAAACGTGGCTATAATGATGGACAAATTAATGCACATATATTGATGCCCCCACTGGAGTATGACCTGTCCCAAACCTGGTGTGCAGCTTGTTACTGGTGTTTCTTCGTGGCTGTATTTGTCCACGTGCATCCGGATCCCATGGGAATTTGGGCAATTTTTTGTGCAAATGTCAGGGTGCCCATGACCCTCACAGCACAACAAGGTTTGCATGCTTTGACTATAGGGGAATCATGGCGAGTCCTTTGCTAGCCCACCCATCATCCACTGAGTAATAGCCTATTTCGCGAAGCATGGTGGGATTAACTCCACGGTCAATGACGAGCGTCTCCAATTATAACATGTTGTAAAACACACAAATTGCATAAAATTGCTCTTGGACATTGAAAAATGCGAGACAGAGTATAATCAATGGAAGCACTACTTTATTTATATGTAATAGTGCTATAATGTGCTATATACTGTATATGATTTCATTAAGGTGGTCCTGACATGTGTTCGAATCCCGGCAAAACTCGGAGGTGGTGGCCTCGCGCTTCAGCGTCGAAGTGACCCGCAGGCGGGGGGAGCATGACGGAAGACTCGACCGAGGCCGAGACCGGTCGCGTTCCCAGGAAAACAAAAGAAACACTGATGGATATTGGGTGATTCCGTTTTGCATATGGTTTTCGAAAACAGAACGTAACGACTTGGATTCACCTGGAGTCCAGGAGGGCTGTATGATGTTGTATGGATTCAGTGGACTCAGCATAGTATGATGTTTTTCAACAGCACTGCTTTCAACCCGCTACCAGTGCAGTGAGAGGCTGGGTCCTTGAGACAATAGAAGCGATCATCAAGACCAATATGGAAATCTCGTTTGGAATCAGGAAACCAGAACCATCAAAAGAGCTGCACCTCAAATTCTCCAGAGTGAGTTAGTTGATTCACATCTATTTCTCCAATGAGCAAGGTGGAGGGCGCATCCCTATCTACCGCGGTGGTACGGTCCCCATTTCGCATGCTTTCGCTTGCTTTCCCACCGGTTCACGTGCGCCGAAACCTGGGCGCTTCTTCGCGCCTTGCGTGCGCAGGCAGATGGAGTGCTTGCGTCCCGGGGAGTGGCTCAATGATGAGGTCATCAACTTTTATTACAAACTCCTGCAGGAACCCGGACATGGGCAGTTGGAGCAGGTAGTATTGGTCAAAACCTGAGCAGCTTTTGGCTGCAGGCTGCAGGGTATTTGTTGCGAGGATGCAGATAGATGGTTTCAATTGGTTTTGGGCTTCTAGTTTTGCAGGGAAGTGATGGGCAGCCTTTGTCACAGACAATAGTTTGCTTGTTGCGTGCATTCAATATTTGTTTCTGTAGTCTCCTCCTGGAACTGGTTGGCCACGAGTAAAGAAAGTCCTAGACCAGGAGGTTCTAAGTTGCATAGCTTACTGTATGTATGATTATGTATGAGCGTTAAGAACTCTTAGACTAACTACCCCACTTGTGCAGGAGCGAGGCAAAAGCGTGGAAGGCTCTCCGAAGTGCTGGTTCACCAACTCCTTCTTTTGGCCAAAGCTCAGTGGGAACAACAGCAAGGAGCCCATGTTGTGGGAAACCGATTCGTCGGGGTTCTCCCAACAAACTGCTGTGACTATCTGTGACTGGTTTGTGTTCCAGTCTTGTGTCACTGTTTGATTGGTCCAGGCGCTGTCTACAGGCACATGTGAGCATGAGTAAACACCGAAAGTGGTGGGCGTGCAATCAACGTCTGACTGCCAGGACTATAACTACAAAGAAGTGCGCCGGTGGACTGTGAAAGCCAAGGTGGACATTTTTGAGATGGATTATGTGCCAGGACAGCACTGAAGCTACCACCAAAGGAGTGGTTATTTGGGGGTATTTGTTAAAGTGTGCTTTCACACTTGACACCGGCACCCCGGATGTCCAGGATCTCAGTTGAGGCAAAGACCTTGGGATTATAGTTTAATGATTAAAGCGGATTTCACTCGTATTTCCCCAGAAATGACCACATGCATATGATTAGCAATTGTTCCAAGCACCTAGCTCTTTAGCAACTCAGCATCTCAGCACCTTCCTGTTTGCCTTTTGTGTCCGGAATTTATTTTACCCATGCCCATTGGCACCGCACTGGGCCATTTTGGTAGCAAAACGCCTGTCGACACTGTACTCGACACTGCGCAGCGCTCCTTTGGAAACTGAGGTGATTTTTCCCATGAACATCGGGGAGTCGCATTGGGCCATGGGTGCCATCGACTTGAAGGAGAAGGGCTTTCGCTACTTCGACTCCATGTTTAGCATCTGGGCAGCCCTGGTGACATGGTCGTGGGGGACATGAGTCGAGTCGGGCCGGCCCATGTTCACGAACATCAAGCGGTTCCTTCGACAAGAGGTGGCTGGTGATTGCAAACAAGTTGTTTAAAGGAATCTGGGAAGGCCCTACTAGAATTTGTATGATGGGACGACTTGGCGCAATCCCATGTGTTCCACTGCAGAACTGCTTGTTGTGGTGTCCTATCAGACTTCCCGGATTGGTGGATTCACCAGAATGGGAACTCCGCTTTGTTGCTGGATATGTTGAAGACATTTGAGGACAGTCACCAATTTGTGAGGTCCTTCACTAGGTGGTGAACTGAACTTTTGGTGACCAGCACCCGTCTTACCTAGAATATCCCAGAATCAGTCCGCGGCCTGGTGGTGAATATGTTCAGCACCAAGACGGCACAAGCAGAATTCAGGTCAGACGGTTCAAAGACGGTCAGACGTCTTCCGTTCTTTCTGATGTCCAGCCCCTGTTCTTCCGTTGCTCGAGGTAAGCCTCCATCCAACTTTGTCGCCTTCTTGCGGCGCTATTTGCAAGATGAACATAAGGCAAAGAAAGGCAAAGAGATCTCAGGCGAGATCTTTGGGCGAGTTGATGAACTGGGATTTGGTGTTGATTTTGGGCTGCTTGCGTTTTTCTTGTGTTTCTTGTGTTTCCCTGATCCCCTGTTCCAACTTGTTTTGAGGCCTTGTCCTTCCCTTGTTTCCCTTGTTGTACAAGGCTTTTGCTCTCGTTCTTGCACCATTGCCATGCTCGTCCTCAGCGCCAGACTGTGTGGAGTTAAAGTTGTTCAACCTAGGAAACTTCTGCCTATACAAGCCACCTGTATTTAGCCAGCTCATCAACCCATTTGGGTAGCCATTCCCTGTTGTACTTGCTTCACTTCTTTGTGGCCTGATTACAGTGGCACACTTACCAAAGGCGCCCAAGCTTCCTGCCTGGGGGCGATAGCAAAATTCATAACTTAAGGCCAGAGTGGAGTTGAGCCACCAGAAGTGTAGAATTCCTAGATATTCTTCTTGCAAAGCACCGCCGCCAGGTGTAGAGGATTGGCAGCTTCTCGTGCCTTCCAAGGTGCCGCAGCAGAAGAACGGGCTGCCCGGCAGCGAACGACAGGCCCTTGCTGGCACGGACTTGGCCTAGATGGAGAAGGTCCGTTCGTTGTGCCAGACTAAGCTTGATAAGGCGCACCGTTATCCAAATATTAATGTTTATATATATATATACTGTCCTCGATCCTAATTATAATTGATCATATTTGATCGTTGTAGGTCTAAACGTCAAAAGGCTCTTCTTGCTATACATGTATCGTTTATAGAATGTTCCAATCCCTTCTGGACGTTCGCCAGTTGAACCCAGAAGACACCTATATAGGCAGGATGTTACTCGGACTCAATTCGGTGAACACCTCGAAAGTTCGAAGAAGTGGGACTTGATTTGAGAGCCAATTCACCGCGGATTCGGTCCGCAGCCTGAGGTATGACTGCGGGGTCTTCACGTGCTTCTTCGCGGACTGCTTCTCGGCCGGGAAGAGCTTGAGCTTCGAGCAGGAGGACATGCCCACTCTGCGGATGAGGCGCGGAGCGGTGGGTCCCCATGGATCGCCGGGCATTTGGGGACTGTGCAACTGGGAGGATCTGTTCAGAGGCCGGTTATGAAAAGTGGTTCAAGGATCAAGGATCAGATTCGGTGCGTTTGCACATGCACTGTCCGTCCAAATGTACATATTAACATATATTAACTATGATGTAGTCTATGATGTATATAAGATAGAATATTGTTTGTCCGCCAAGGTGGCTATTGACCCTTGTTCAGGGACAGATACAAACAAGAATAGTCAGGAAACATTGAGCTTAAACAGTCGGTTTGGTCGATATGCTGTTGCTATTGACCAAGCAGTGGAAAGCGACTTTAAACACTTAAGCCCCTTCGGTACCTTCTGGTGAACAGGTGGGCACAGTTGGTATTGAGTTGCCTTCACCAAGCCATGATGTGTTCGCGTTGAAGTTTCAATTGCACAATTTCTTTCTGCAGAGAACATTTGGGACCGCCCCAGAAGTGAACATGAGTTGGTCTTCCGCCGCATTCCATCCGACCGGAACGCTCGATCCAACCTGCGCAGGATCGCAGCACGGGTGTTGAAGGCCGATGAGAAGTTCGATCCCATTCCTTGAGGCCCTGAGATGGGGGAGATGGGTTCGTTGCGGTTCCTTGGCCGGGGGCCGGTACCACATCACAGGATTCAAGTGACATCATGTGTTGTTTGTTCCAAGTTGTTTTGGGGGGTTGGTGTGGAGTTTGTTGAGTTGAGGGCTTGGGATAGAGAGACATGGTTTGGAGAGATTAGATTGGATTAATATTGTAGATATCTCACAACGCCTTGGTGGATTTGGAAGATGTTTGCCAGGTGCTTTGGGGAGTTCCTTTGGGTTTAGTTTAGGAACCTTTTATGTGGCTTTATTCTGTTCTAATTGATTATTGTCCTCGGCACGCCGGGTAGGCGCACTGCTGCTTCTCCTTTGCGCCCGGGTCACTGGCTGCTTGGGGGTGGCAACATGCTGCCGACGCTGGGAGAGAGAGAAATCAAAGTATCCGTCGCAGGGGTGAAATGGTTGTTGGTCCCCTCCTAAATCGTGGATTGAACAGTCACACCCTATTTTATTATGTGTTTGGAGGGGGTGACCTGGTTGGAGAAACTAAGAAAACATGTTACAAATCTGCACCGTCCAGAATGGCAATGTTCAGAGCAGAGTTTGTGGAGCCTGAGGAGCTTTGGATGTTGAATGCAGAGGCCCTTAGACCTTTGTGCTTCAGATATTGGGTCCTTTGGCATTTTGACACGCATCAACGCCCTTTCTCAGTCCATCGAACTTTTGCGCTAGAAACTCCAGGGTGCTCAGTCATTCCAGGAGCCATGTGATCTATCAAGGTCGACATCATTCATCATCAGCATCGGTGGTTGCTATTGATGGGCCTTAAATCCGGGTGCATGATCAAAAACAATGTTGTATCGCGTGCTTCTGAAAGTTTGCTTGCCAGCAGCTGTTCTTGTAAGTTCTGCATAGTCATCATAGTCCTGCATGCTGATCTCCTATATAGGCTGCTAGGTTCTTTTTGATGCACACAGGACATACACTCGGATTCACTAACATGGAATATGGAAGTAGAAAACCCTTTGTTTGTAGAGGACAGTAGCCTTCCAAGGAACCATATTCCACTTCCATGTGAGTGAGTCAGAGTGTAAGCGTTTGAGCTGAAGCTCTGCCAAGAGGGTTGGCATAGTGACTTCGTGATGTTCCTGTCCAGCTCGGCCTGTGATTGGGCGAACATCCTCGCTTCAACGCAGCTTAGCCTCAGCTCCGACCTAGAGAGCGCGACAGGTGTTGAAGCTCAAAGCAAGCTTTCGCACCTAGAGGAACAACTCCACATGAACCCAAATTGCGAGCGTGATTCAAACGTTGAGCAACGCAGTAGAGAGCCTTGCGTTGAGAAAAGACACAAAATCCTGAGATATCAACTCTAGAACGCCTGTGTTGAACACACAATCACATACATGAAATCATGAATCATGAACATGTAATCGTGCTGTAACTTGTAACTTTACGTGTCATCATGCCCACAAGCAGGCACCTATTGCGTTTTGTTCTCCATTCTGTTGCTCTTTTCTGTGGCCTCCGGGCCATCAAATGACTGCCTCAGCTACACTGATTTGGACAGTAAGCCTGAGAATAGAGCTACAGTCACCACCATCCGACAAAAGGAACAACTAACGCCACTTCATACACTTCGTGACCAATCCACAGGCCGTCTCGAGCCCTGACCCTCTCTTCCACGACTTAGCCTATGGCCGATGCCGGCGCCGGCATCGACGCCCGTGGGTGCCGAAGAAGAGGACACCGCTTTGATCGAGCCAAGCGCTGGATCTGCTCCCGCCACCGCCCCGGCCGCGGCCGCCAGCGGAGGGGAGTGCGACTGGTTGTGCCGCTGGTTGTGCCGCTGGCGGCTTTGCATTCTGTTGCCACTGGGGGTATTGATTTTCTTCCTGGGCAAGGAATGGAACTCATTGAATCTTGGGATCAGAGACTTGGTGTTGTGCTACAGTGACAGCTTTGGTGGTTCTTTGCAAATCTTTTGTGTTCCCCCTCAATGTGTTCCAAATGTTGATGTATTTTCTCTCCGACCCCCCCCACAAAGGTGACTCTTTGCCCAGCAACTTCAGCAGCAGCTCCTTGGCCTCGGCGGCCAATGCCGTGTCTTCAGCCTTCACGGCTGTGGCACCGGAGGCCTCGGAGGACCTGCAGGAGTTGCTCACGAAGGCGGTCGAGTGCTTGCGCCTCACCACGCCTGAGCTGGATGGCATCAAGCGCCTCGGTGGCACACCGAGTGGGCACCGAGGGAGCGGGGCCGTGGAGGGAGGCTGGGAGGCTTGTTCAGCGAGCCTCGGGGGTGGAGTGAAGGTAGGGTTGATGGGTGGAGTTGGCAGATGGAGGGGGTTTAGAGGATCCAGAGACAGAGAAGGTATATGAGATCTATCCAGGCAGGATGAAGTCAATTGGAGCAATTAGACCTACAAGCAGATGGACCTCCGATGATGCTTTCTTTTCGAGGGTGCCCACCCCCTTGGAGACCAAGCGCAAATACAAAGGAAAGAAAAGAAAGCCGGCAGTCACATTGTCACCCCAATCCTTCAACTGCAAAGGGCTGGACTTTCCCTTGCCTAGTGGTTGATCCCCAAATCGCCCGAACTGCAGGACGAGTTGACACACCCAACTTGGAAATCCATGGATTCGCCTTGAGCCACTGGACTGGTGGACTCCAAAACCACCTTGCAATGCCCGGGCAGAATTTTCTTCTCTTCACTGCTGGAAGAGCATCTCAAGACACTGACGTGAAGAGGCCCAATTAGCCTTTCTGGTCCCAGCCAGGTACCCCAGTGATGCTGAGGAGCATTTCCTGGAGGCCCGGGCAACGAGGATGCTGGCAAGTCGGTCATCGCGTAGCGACGTAGCGTATCATTTAGCGTCGGCATGTATCAACAGCAAGAACTCCAAAATAGAAAACCTCCTCCTCCTCCTCCTCCTCCTCCTCCTCCTCACCCTCCTCACCCTCCTCACCCTCCTCACCCTCCTCACCCTCCTCACGTTCCTCATCCTCCTCCTCATGCTCCTCATCGTCCTCCTCATCCTCCTCGTCGTCCTCCTCGTCGTCCTCCTCGTCCTCCTCATCGTCCTCCTCATCCTCCTCATCGTCCTCCTTGTCGTCCTCGCCGTTTTCGTCATCGTCATGGTCATCGGCATCAGCATCGTCATGGTCATCGGCATCGGCATCAGGGTGGGAGCAGAGTCCAAGATTTGTTTGCACGATGTCATGTCAGGTCCTCTCTTTGAAGGGTGAACTACCGTCATGTGCACAAGCATCCCAGAAAAGGACAACTGCATTGGCCCCGTGCCGGCTATGGTCCCGGCCCGATCTCCTTGTTGCGATGTCGCCGTGTGCAGGTCAACAGGACCTTAGCCAGCTTCCTTCCCCGGCACGTGCCGATGCACAAGTGGCTCTTATATCAGGGCCCATGGATCGAAAATTTCTGGATCAACCGCTTCAGTCAGAAGTGGCTGGAACGTCCTCGAGGCCGAGAGGGGCTGATTTATGACGTCGGGAGCTTAGGGCTCGAGGTTCCCCAGTTTTTGGACATGACGAGTTGGACGAGGGTTGATGGAGGGCCCATACTCGACATACTGGTCCACTGAAGTGGAGCCAAAGGTGCATCCCTGCGCATCTCTGCCCAAAATCCTTTGAATTTAGGGAGAGCCGTACGAGATGGTTCGTCCCTGGGGATTGTCAACCAGCAGCTCTTCAGAGTGAGAATAGGGCCCATGGCCGTGTCTTGCCGTCCAGGGTTATCCAGCCCAGCCTCGGCAGGCACCCGCTTGCATGAGATCTTCGGACCTTTCATCCCCATCTTCGTTCCCTTTGTGGATTTGAAGGTCATGATGAAGGGCAAGTATCCTCCAGGCACGGGACTCCCAGAGTGTTTCACTGCCAAGGAAGGACAAAATAGGACAATTGGATTTCCTGGAGCGGTCTTTGGGATGGGGTCAGTGGCAAGATGTCATCAGAACAGTGCGTGTTTGAGCATGAATTGGATTTGGTGCTTTAATTTAACGTGCTTTAACACTTTCTCAGCCATTCTGGCAACCCTGGCAAAGACCAACGTGGAAACGAAATCCTCTGGTTTGTAGAGTCTAGTCTAGTGCATCAGTATGAGCAGCACACTCAAATTAGCTTTGAGATTGAAAAACTGGTTGCACAATGGTTTCCTTCCAATAGGCAGAGTAGATACAGTTTGAATATATGCCTGTGGCAAACATGTTTAAAGGTGGTGAATATCCTGTTGTGCATAAATGGGATGTTTGGATCGATCTGTGCGATCTTTGAGATTCCCCGTCGGTGGCCACAAATCAGGGGTTTGCACTGGCACCGCTTGCACTGGCGAGGCTTGATGGAGGCGTTGAACCGGACCTTGCGGCGGGACTGTTTGTACGTCACGGTGTCCCAGCACGATGAGGGCCTTTTCGGCATGCCTCGGGGAGCCGAGCGGAAACAGGTCGATCGCAGCTTGCCAGAGCTGGCATTGGAGGAGGGGTTGGATGGTTGTTTGAGGTCAATGGGCCAATGGATTCGATTGCTTGTGGGTAGAGGATGTTGATGGTTTTGCATATGGCTTGCTGTGTTGGTATGTAATATGTATATATATATATATGTGTGTGTGTGTATGTGTGTAACTATATATTTACACACATGTTTGCATGCACATATGCATTGCATCATATACGGCACAAATCAACAGCCTGGGCAGTTAGGTGAGTATCCGCCCAAAAGTGGCCTTTGCCGACGCTTTCTTTGGAAAGCTAAGTGAAGACACCTCAGACCTCAGAGTAAGATAGCACCAAATTGGTCTCATGGTTTGTATATACATATAGCGAGAGAGAGAGTTCATTCTTCAAACCCACCTGTCTAATCCTGTGGCCTGTTTCGAGCACACAGTTTGCTTGTAGGTAGGTTGACCCGGTTGACCCCCAAAGCAGTCCAATATGATTCCCCACATCTTTGTGTGGGGTTCTTGCTTTTACACTGCACCCCAGCTCTTCCTCCTTTGCCTTTGCCTCAGCGGTTGCCTCTGCCTCTTCCTCTCCTTTCCTCTTGTGTCTCTCCTCTTCCTGCCTCCTCCTCACCAACTCAAACTCAACTCCACTCCACTCGACTCGACTCAACTCACTCACTCTCACTCCCACACTCACAATCACCCTCACCCTCACACTTACACTCACAATCACTCACCCTCACCCTCACCATCACCCTCATTCTCTCTCACGACAAGACTTGTCCACCACCGTACTGCACATCTCCGCTCATCATCATCGGCATACACTTGTCCGATCTTTTCCGTGATCATTCCTTTTCCTTCCGCTTTTGCCTCCACTTGTCATTCATCGTTTCTTCACTCATGAACCGGTGCCCCAAAAAGGGTGGCTGGTTCGGCTTCAGGCCAGGCTGGGCCTTCGAACCACACAGCTGAGGTATCCAACAGTCCAGCATTCCGAACCTCTTGGTCTTCAGTGCTGGCGGCTATGGACACGCGCCCAGATGCGCAAAGATGAGCAGAGGGACCAAGTAAACACCCGGATGTGGTAAGGAAACGGGTGAACATCAAGTAGTAAGGCTGAATTGCCTAGATGTGGGGCGGACATCGACTGAATCTGATGGAAGTTGTTTGATGTTTAATCATTGTTTTGGGATGTTTTGGGCAAATACTCGCTGACGGCAAGATACGGCCAGCATATTTCACCGTCAGCAGGGAAGTGCGCAACCAACAGTGACTTCCAGTGATTTGGATTTGTGGGTGCTGGCAAAGGGACTTATCTTGGGCAGTGCCGCGGGCCCTTCTTCAACTTCAAAGCTGGGGGGTGTCCGGTGTTTGGGCAGAAGCTGTTTCACCAGCTCCGGCGCTTCTGTTGAGGTGCCACTCCCATTGCTGAAGCAGCCGGAAGAGCCCCTGCCGGCCACTCCCCGCCTGGCGCAGCGGCCCTTCTTTGCTGGCTTTGTTGGTGGGAAGAACGCGCCTGCTGTGCGGACGCAAATGTGTCGCCTGGAGTCGATCGGGATGTGGGACATGGATCACCTGCCACGGATGTGGGGGTTATGAAGTAATTAGCTATAGAGTGCTTATAGTTATAAGATGGTGGATACCAAAAAAAAACTGAGGCCAAAAGAAACTCGGATATCATTGAGATGCGGGATAGACATCATGTCACGATCAGTTTGGGTGTGAAGAGGGGTGGTCGGATTGGGGTGAGTAAGTATACTCTGGGAGCGGTTGCCACGAATGCATTGGCTTCGCCTCGTGAGGTGACGATGTTCGGAGCTGGGCCGACAAGAACCAGAAGGAGGTGAAATTCATCTTTGGCTACGTGGCTCTGGCATGCTCTGGCAGAATTCCCTCCGGACAACTAACAAGGACCCTGACAATGCCCCCATGGAAGATTTGTATTCCTCTACGAACCAGTGGTTTTCAGGGTCCATGTTAGCCTTCAGGGGGTTATGTCAAACGATGTCGATAGTCAGGCTGAATATCGATGTTCAGAGCCACCCAAATGAGACCGGATAAGAAGATTGGTAAACCTTGAGCTATGCAAATATCTGCGTTGGAACGTTGATATTTGATGTTGACCAACCTGCATGGTTCCCCCGCAGCGACTTGCCCTTTGGTCAGGAATGCAAACACCAATTGTTATTCTCTATTTTTGAAACAGTGATATTTTTTGGGGGGGGACCCTCCATCCTGGGCCTTTTCTCTCAAACGACAATGACTTGCTCTTTTTGCTTTATGGCAGTGATTCAGTCGCAGTGCAACGCAGGAGGGGTCCCCAGCATACAAGGCAAAAGGATGCAAAAGGCATAAAGGAGAGAGAGGTGACGATTCTATATCACCCGCTCTCCCCCGAACTTGAATTCAGGTGAAGAATTGGAAGGACATTCTGCAAAACAGTTCGCTGGGTCTCTCTCCTCGCGGCTGGGGACGGAACTCCTTCCGAACCATCGAGCTCCTCCAGATGGGCCGCATCCCGGTCTACGCACCTCGACCGGAGAGCCCGTGTCGGTGTCGGCGAACGGAGAAGTCCGGAGAAGTCCGGGAGTCTGGCCGGGGTGCGTCTCGGAAGTCTTTGGACACCATAATATGTCATAATATCACGAGACTCTTGATTCGTAAGACCTCCGATATGTAATGGTTTTATGCTGCTGCTCTATTGATCAAGAATCTACATATATCTACATATTAATTACCATATATTACCTGTGTCTATTTGAAATATTAAGACATCAGTTGAATTCACCCAGAACCCCAGCATAACCTGGCCGACTGGTTTGGACCAGGGTCTCAGCACATGATGTTTGGTCGACAACTGGCAGTTTAAGCTAAGACCTCAACCAAGCAAATACCCATCATGGAGGCTTCAACAAGATAAACAAGTCCATGCTTTTTGGGGGGTGGTGCACTGAAGATCTTGAGGTGTGGAGTGATGAGCCATGGCTGTTCTATCGCCACTTGTGGGATCAAGAGCAGATCGGCTTCGCGTCGCATTTCACGGAGCTGCCGCAGACCTTCGACCATATCGCCGCAGATATCCACAAATTGGAGGAGCGCCATTCGCACGAATTGAAACTGAGTGGCTGAGGAACTACGAAGTGGCTGACCCGATGCGACAGTAATAGCTGGAGATTCCGAGGTTGCAAAGGGGTGAGCACACGTGAAACATGTTTGGAAACCCCGTGATACTGTAGGAGTGGAGTGGGCATTGACAAACTGCTTTCGGGGGTTGGGGCATTCTGGACGGGTACTTTTGTGAGACCTAAGCAATGCTAAGCAGGTTGAGCAGGTAGAGCGCCGACTATGACCATGGCACCAGAAAAAATCAAATCAAAGATTCATACCGCGAGCATCAAGTGGCTACTCGGTGCCGTGCCCATTTGGAAGTGGATGGGACCCATTTGGGACGAGAAACGCATGTCGACGCCGAGTCGGCCGAGTCGTCGCTTCTCCAGGCGATGGAGCAGCGGATCTTGGAGCTTCGGGAGAGTCATTTCAGCTTCGACGGCGTGATCCAGTGGCGAGACAGACGTGGCGAGACACGCGACCATCACTGGGATGGCGTGGAGGATGGTGAATGCGTTTGGTGTGGTGTGGTGTAAAAGCAATGCTTTCAGAGTGGGTGGTGCAGACCCCAAGGTGTCTTTTAGATGGGGGTTCATAATTAAGAATCACCTTTTGTATCCTTTTGTAGAGTGCGCCATGATGTGGATTGTTAGCTTGGAACCCAAAAAAGGCATGACGATGGGTGAACCTCCGCGGTCAGACTTGAGAGAGAAAGAACAGAGAGCAGCTTGCAGGTGGGTGCTTTTTGAACGCACAGCAGCGAGAAGAAGACTGCAACCTCTCCCAGTTCCGCCCAGTTCCCAATGTGGTAAAGAAGATGTTTTTTCTATGTCGGTTGAATCGAAGGGGATTTTATTTCGTCCGTTTATGGGCCCTATTGCTTGGGATTCAGATGAATACCACGAAGCAGTGCGGGTGTTGGGCAGCCTGATCTCAGGTGTTCCTGCACACGGTCATTTCCAACACAGACCACTAACCACTAACCCTTTTGAGTTCCTTACTTTCCCCATTTAAGAGGGAAACATAAGGAACACGCCCTTCAGCATTTACCTAATCATGCATTCCGTTTTCGTCATCCTCTCCCCATAATTTTCTGTGCTGTTGCCCGTGCGGCCTATAATTTATGGTGGAGAAGAAGGAGGGCTATGTAGTATATTGTAGTATGTGGTTGCCGCTCAAAATAGACACCATGTTTCTGGTTTAGTTTTGCATATCCAGGGGTGTTGGGTGCCCCCTGTTTTGACCAACGGTCGCAGTTTCTTTCCAAAGAACAAGACACCGTTTGCCCGTTTTCTTCCTTTGCTGAGGCACATCTCATACTCCTTTTGTTCGGAAAATTGGAGCTCAACCAATCCCAACTCTGGGGAGCTCAATGCGCCCAGGCAGATCTCCCAGTTCCTGCTGGGTGAGCGCACAGACCTACGCTGCCAGCGTTTGCCCAGCCGGACCAACTAGGCCTGGAAGGGCTGGAGGGTTGCTGAGGTCGATTGGTAGAGAATATGAGGTCAGTTTCAGCTGGGATCCAGCGTTCCCTCATTGTTGACTATGCACCATGATGCACCAGTATCGGGATGGACTTGGGGAGGCGCCAGCGGCAGCGCACAATCATTATTCAGCAACAGGTTGAAACTTGAAACTATATATATATATATGTTATATATTTTTTTTACTAGGGAAGCCGTATTGTTGCGTCAAATTTGGCTCGGTTGCGCATTTGGAAAGGTGTAGCGCTTCCCTCATAGCTGGCCAAGCCAAGTGAGTGTCCCGTGTCACTCTGAGAAGGGCTGCAAAAGTGACGAAAATTCTGCTGCGGTCACCGTGAGCCAACAACCGCGTTGGGTTGTACCATTGTCAATGGTGTTGAGCAATGGAGATCAAAAGACCTTGAAACCTACTTCTGTATGTACAGACTGTCCGGCAACCTGGTGCCCTTGAACACCGGTGCTGAAAGCCTGAAAGCTATGTTCAACTAAAGCAGAATGCCCCAAAGATGACAAGGAATCAAGGGGGTCAAAGGCCGGCTGTGAGTCCAAACCTCCCGCACCAAACCGTGGTAGGTTGACAGTTGACATTCCACAAAATCTGTTCGCTTTCATAGCCACAAAAAAACATAGCAGGGCTTTCTTACCAGCCACAATTGGTTGAGGTATGTCAGTCACCCCTTTCCTTGTGTATGTCATTCTTCCTGGACAAGCTTGTCCCAGCCGCCTTGCCTCATAAGAGCTCAAAGTTGTTCAAGTCCAGAGGGTTTAGTTGAAATTCAGAAAGGTGGCTGCCCTGCCTGTGGATGAATGTTTGTTCACCTGACTCATGCAAAGCGCCAACCTGGAACTAATACATTTGGTTTGGGAAGATTCACTGTTCAACTGTGTTTGGGTAAGTGTCACCGACTGTCCTGTTTGCTCTTGGGGTTCTTGCCCAGGTCCTTGCGTGGCAGCAAGCCAGCGATTAAAAAAGCGCATGGAGTCGCATGCGAGGGGGTGACAGGCGTGAGTACAGATGAATTTCTTGGATTGCTTGAGGTGACTTGGCATGTTCTGTGCAGGCAAGTTGTTTGGAAACCGGTCAGGACTGCGTGTGCACGTCCAATTGTATACAAACATGCAAACATATACTAATGTCATGCATGAATTGGTGTCTCCAAATGGGCATCCCATCAGATTAAATCCAAAAGTTTTCTCCAGTGGATTCAAGTTTCGACAACTCTTTGGGGATGAGTCTTCTATATATATATATATATCCGATATTATGCCCCGTTGATTTTGCAAAGCTTCAACTGCAGATAATTGCAGCTAAATCAGAGGACAACTGTTCAGAACTGACTATAAATCAGAGTCCAACCTGCCAACAATGTTCTTCATGCCCTTATTGGCTTTCCGTCACAGCTGGAGATCCCCAAGCCTCCCAGGGAGGAGACCCTGCCCGATGCCGCGCCAAATCCAGTCTGATGACCTCAGGAGGATGTGCCGGCCCTGCGAGCTAAGCTGAAGCGATTTCAGGCAGGTTTGGAGGATGGAGGTGCAAAGCGAAGAGCGATTTGGGTGGTGGAAACATAGACAACCCCGTTGAAACAGTTTGTGTCACAATCTACTCAACTTACTACTTTGCGCAGTTTCTGTGCAGGTCTTCAGGCCGTCTCTTATAAGGAACCGCCCATTGGAGCAAGCCATCAGCTTTTGGTGATTGATTTATCCTTTGTATCAATATCGCTATGGCTCTCGACCAGGACCGGCCAGCGCCGCAAGGTGCGTTACGGTCAACCTCAAGAAGCCTCAATATGCCTCAATAGTCGGCATTCAGTTTGTGTTCATGCAGTCGAGCTTCGTTCTGCAGGCTTTGGTGGAGAACGCTCGGGAAGTGGAAGGCACAACCGCGTGGGGTTGGGTGGTGGTCCCGGACTAAATGACTCATATTGGCTCATCAAATGAGACGGTGCACTGCACCCGACAAAAACAAATGCTAAAGCGAGGCATGCGTGGAAGACGGCCCGAGCGAATTGGTCGTTCACTTCCCAGACCTACACATTAACACCGATGGTTTGACGACCCTTTGCGGGAGACAATGAACATAGTTTGCTCAGCATTTTACTTAGGAAAGGTTGAGCAAAGTAGTGTGAATGTGCCATTCGTTGATGCGCCTTTTCAAGGCCGTTTCGTTTTGATGCATTGCACTACAGAAATGCCCGACCGTGCCCAAAGAGAAAACAAGTTCCTTTACTTAGCTGGGAGAAGAGGCGGTTTTGGCTTCCAAACTATTAGGATCTATTGAAAGGATAGAAAATATCACATTAAGATAGAACATCGTATAGCATCCATATATATATATATGTATGTTTTATGACTTGCATTCTTTTAAATCTTAATGAAATCCCTCAATAATATAGAATCATGAATCTCCCATATTAGAAAGTGGCCTAGCGGATAACCTGCAGATAGAAAGAAACAATTATGAATGAATCACACTTCCAATTTCCTACACACATTTCATTAGGTGCACAAGGTTCTTCATAGTTTATGTGGCTACATTTTTCAATAGGTGATTCTATAGGTGAATGAAGGTAAAGAGATGAATGAGAAAGAAAGTCCCAGAAAGTGATACACCATTATTATTATTGCTATTTTTTTGTATATGTCTGGTATTTGTTGCTATACTAGTTGGTATTTTCGATCCTTCACGCCTATTTCTCCCATATCTGTTTATTTGGTATTTATTTTGATCATTCAGGATTTTCTTAGTTATAATCACAATTTGTTCAGACATATATTGGTACTCTCTTATTATTTCTTATTATTTTCTTAGGAACGGTTCACCCACGATTATTCATTTTAGTATTCTTCATTCTAGCCGATACATCTATTAAAAATGATTGGGTGTCACACTTTTATCTTCATATCTTATTCACTATTGGTTGGCAAGGTTCTTAAGGGATTAATATAAGTGAATAATGTAAGAAAAAAGGCCAGGACCCCCTGAACACCCAATGTCCAAACATCTCCAATTACAAGGCAGGCTCAGTGCCCTTGGAAAGTTTTGGCCTGTTGCAGCATAGCAAGATCTTTCTCATGTTCTGCAAGGTTAGACATGAGATTAGTTATGGATGATCATGGATCACAGGAGAAACGAAGAGAGATGCGGTGTTTCTCTGGTTCTCCCCAGTTCACCGGTGATGGAGCGGCTCCCCATCAACCGTTGCGGGGGGCTTCTGGGCTTGATGCCAGGCTTGAGCAAAAAAGAGAAGAAGGTGCGGGGCGGATGTGAGAGGCGGATACACTCTTCTTTCAGGGAATGCTGAAAGCATGCTGAGAGCATGCTAGCATGTCAAGTGCTGACTCCAAGCGCTGGTCCTTTGAAAAGTCTCAGCCAAGAAGTCTCTGGGAGATTTCACAAGTGCTGACTCCCAAGCTGTGATCCCAGAAGCTGTGATTTCACAAGAATGGAGTTGTTTTTGGGGGGATCACAGCCTTCACAGCTTCTGCGAAGCTCCTCCACCCTGGTGCTCTCCTGCTCGGCCCTCGGGTTCGCCAGGCCGAAGCCGACCGGCTACGGATCGACCTGGCAGGACCGCATCGACCGGGCCGAGAGGTCGGGAGCTGTTCCGTCAGACCATTGGGTCCGGTCTGCAGAGGTGTTGTTAGATGGTAAGACATGGTGAGATAAGGTCGTTTTTTTGGATGTTGTTTTTTTTGGTATATAGTTATTGGTTTGGTTTAACTTTGGAAGGGATTTGGGGGGTGTCAGACATGTGAAGACCCACCAAGCACTGAAGAACTCAGGGGGGTTTGCCTCTGGGTGGTGGTGCAGTGGTGGAGTATATATAAAGGTATGTTGCAGATGAAAAAAACTATATATATATATATGTACAGTATATTATGTATATTGGTTTAGGTGTGTTGCCTTTCTCTGGCGAAAGAAGTAGACGGTGGTCTCATGATTTGGAGACAGAGCCATGCAGATTTTGGTTGGAAAGGTGCCCCCTTCCAAGCCGTTTGGGGGGTTCACAGTGGATCTTTATCCTGAGAGAAAAGCAGCGAACATCAGTGGTTGAGGTGTAATTTGTTTGGGCTTCTCCAGTTCTTTAAGCAAATCCAATCCAAGCTTGCTGATTTTGCGTATCGTCCACCAAGACCTGCATGTTGCAGGTCATGTTGCTTTGATTTTTGTTGGAGAAATGTTGAGACCCTTTGTGTTCGTTGCAAAGGCTTCCAAACATCTTCCAGTGCAAAATAGAATCCAACGATATGCAAAAGAGTGTGAAAGCACTGATCTTCGAATATTGCGGAACTCACTAGACTTGCTGGTTTTGATGCCATCACAGCTAGTGTAGACCACTTGGATCAGGCTGATGTCCGTGGCACTGGCATATATACTGGCATAATTACTCATATGCCGTCCGAAGTCATGATGGAAGTTGGTGGTTTGTTCGTTGATTTCCCCAGTGACTCAGGCCAGCTGGTGGCACCACAGGACGACGAGCGTAGGTGCGGCGACGGGCAGAAGTGCACGAGTCT